ACCTATTTGTTACCTTTTTACATCCCATAGAAATGAATGAGTTTTTGTCTCGTATTGAATATTGATCTGTTGTTAATGGTCTCATATTTAATCCAATTAAATGTCAAGCTGCTAACTTTAGCATGAGATATGGACGGTATCTAAACACTATCTTGATATCCCATAATACTTGTGTCATTGGAGATCCCTTGATAAACACGGTGTCGAAAGTCAATTATCCTGATGTTACTTTTTCCTCTAATCTCTCTTGATCTTCTCATGTTTCACTATTGTTGGAGAAAGTTTTCTGTCTGATTTACTGCATAAAGAGTCCACATGCTTTTGAGATTACTCGACATTTACTCTTAAAATTTGTCAATTCCTACATATTACCTATTATTCGTTACAGTTCTTCATTATTCTTTCTCAGGCTTTTGAGAAAAGACTCTACTGTATTGTAGAGAGTGTTGGAACTAGAAAATAAGGCCCAGGACAGAGTGGGTTGGAGAATGCTGGTCAGCGGCCTATGCTCCATTGGGAGTAACAGGCGTAAGTAAGTAAGTAAGTAAGTAAGTAAGTAAGTAAGTAAGAGATTGTTGAAGGCAGTTAGTTAACAAGGTGTGTGGTGAATCTTTTGAGGTCATTGTTAATATTGTTGTGGATAGGCATCTAAAATCGTGTAAACTCTTGTCAGGTGTTATCTTATCAGATACTAATCATATACTTCAATCATATGTTTCTTCTTGTATATCTTCTGGTCGAATGAAACGTATTCGGTAGCAAGTCATATCTACACGCTTATCTTACAGATAAGGCTTTCTTTCTTATATATAGGATCTACTGTGACTATGAACTCCGTGTAATTACATCGAAATGATCTACAAAACAATTCAAACAACATCTTATCAAGATTATGGTTTAGATTCTCACTTCTCTTTCTTCAATAGATCAAAGAATTAAACAAATCGTTATCAAAATTTTGTAATTTTCACCTTGTTTCGACAAAACTATGGGGAACTTTCTTGATTGATCTTTTTAAGAAAAAAATGAGCGAGATAAAATGATGATGAATTAAATTAATATTATTGTGGTGTGTGCTACTGATATCGACAGATATAAGTAGTATGAATTATCAAACAAAAGTGGAGCGATTGGCAATGGAAGGTTGAGACAGTCGAAGAAAAGAGAAACGAAAGAACAATAAAGTGTAAGACAATTGATGAATATTTAGCAAATGAAGTATGAAGTATGGTCGATCACCAGAAGCAACAGAAGGAGGGAGAGTAAGCAGCCTGGCCTCACTCCGGTCCTCACTTGCAATGCACCTGTCCCCCACTTACAACTTTGCAGTATAGTCCGTCGTGTGAATTCCGAATGATTTTGAAGATTTTCTCAACTACACCATCGTGCCAAAGAACGTCCCATAAGGTTCTCCTATACAAAATGTCAATTGCTTTATCATAGTTGAGGGAGTTGATGTATAGTGACAAATTGAATTCAGATGATTATTTAACGATTATCCACAATGTCACGGTTTTGTCTGTACACGACTGATCTCAAAGTTAAGTGTCTACTGAATCTTTCATCCGGTTCAGTAACATTCTGTTGAAAACCTTTCCTAGTACTGACAGTAGTTCGATGTCTCTGAAGTTCTCACATTTGATTAGATCTGCCTTCTTTGGTATCTTGATGATGTATCCTTGTTTCCAGTCCATCAGCACTTGTTGTTCCTCTCAAATCTTGTTAAATAGAGTGTGAACCATGCTTGCAATTACTTTCATGTCTGACTTCAGACCTTCAGCTCGTATATTGTCAGGTATGCTGCTTTCCCCCCATCGATTTGGTTGATGGCCATCCTGATTTCTTCGATTGTTGGTGGAGTGACATCTATAGGAAGGTCTGTGTGTGCTATTCCAATATCCGGTGTATTCAAGCGAAATGGTCTATTCCAGAGTTCTCTGAAGTACTCCACCCTTGTGTTCTGGAATCTCAATAATTGCCTTGCATTCTTTGTCCTTAACCGGTCTCTCTGGTTTACTATATTTATCTACCAGTTTCTTCGTTGTGTTATAAGGTTGTTCCATATTTCCTTCTCTTACAGCGTTTTCCGTTGTCGTTGCTAGTTCTTCCATGTATTTCTGCTTGTCAGCTCTAGAGCTCTTCATTTTTCTGCTGGTTTCTGTGTATTCATCTTGTGCCTTGACTTACTCTGTTCTTGTTCGACTGTTGTTAATTACTGTCTTCTTGCTCTTCTTTCTTTAAATGCTCCACAGGGTTTTCATATAGATCCACTCCTTATGATGATGCAGCTTGAGGTCCAGAATCTCCTGAACGTTGAACTTGATACTTTTTTATTCCCTTTCCAATTGTCTTCCATAGTAGTCTCTTCTTCTTTGAGGAGATCTTGTAAGGCTTGAAACCGAATGTCGATAGTTATCTTGAATTCATTGAGTTTGTCAGTATGTTGAGGGAAGGCTGTATTCAACCTTTGTGATTCCTTTTCTCCAATCGTGCATTACTTCTTTAGCTTCAATTTCGTCTAGGCAGCCACCAGGTGACGATCTGAAGCTATATCAGCTATTCTCTTGGTTCTAATGTCTTCCATTGACCTTCTCTAATTTTTAGTGATGCAAATATGATCGATCTGATTCTCTGTAGTGCGATCCGGTGAGATCCATGTAACTTTGTGCATACAGTTGCGTGGGAATATTGTACCGCCTGTTACTTTTTTGTTGAATGCACATAAATTTACAAATCCATCACTATTCTCGTTTCTTTCTCCCTGTCGATGTCGTCCCATGATATCTTCATATGCAGTGTAGTTCATTCCGACTTTAGTGCTTAGGTCTTCCATCAGTATGGTTGTGTCCCTTCCTATTCACTTCTCTACGGCCGAGATCAGCCTTTCATAAAACTGATCTGTATTGTCGTCGTTGTTATAATTAGTGGGTGCATGGCATTGGATAACATTCATCGTGATCCCCTTCTTCTTCATGTAGTAGGATGCTCTGATGATCCTGGATCCGTGAGTTTCCCATCCTATAAGTGCATTACGTGCTTCTTCAGACAACATCAAAGCAAATCCCTAAGTATGTGGAACATTTCCTTCTTCGTGACTAGAGTACAACAGCTTCCCTCCCGAATCTAACCTTTGCTGTCCGTCTTGGGTTCGATGGTTTTCACTTATTCCAAGCACCGTTAATTTGTATCTGCTCATTTCCATAGCGATTTGATTGGTCCTCCCGAACCCTCACATTCCATGTACCTATATTAATTATTGCTCGGGTTATTAAAAGAGGCATCCATCTCGTGACTTCCGAACAATCTCGTCTTTCAACATGGGGCATCATAATTCTTCTGAATGAAGATCGTTCTGTCCATATGAAACTAGTTACGTTAATAAACTATACAGAACAGGGTTCAAAAAACATTCAGTCTATTTATTAAAACTTGAATATTTTAACCAGTATATGGTTACTTCATTATTAGATCACCAAATAAGTTAATGCTAAGTAATAAAACAAAAAAAACCCAGGTCGAATACAACTGCTTTGTATACGCTAATTCTCAGTTTACCTTAAATTGATTTAAGATTAGATTTTCCATGATTCTCTTGAATAAAAAGACTTTGTCTATCTACTAATTACAACAGTTGAGATCATGAGTCAATTGAATCTAGCCCACCATGAAAAATCTGGAAGCATTGGACAAGTGGAGTTCAACCGGGTCAGTTGTGAGGTAGTAACTCACTGATGACAATGGTGGATGTGTCGCTCAATTTCGTGGATTAGTTGAAGTCTGATCAGCCCTAATGGGTTGGTATTGGACGAAATCTCAGCACGAATTCGAAAAGCTCGTTTGGCTTTTGCCAACTTACGTCACCTTTGGCAAAGGCGAGATATCCGTCTATCAATAAAAAGACGAGTATACTGCGCGGCAGTCCGTTCTGCTTTACTTTACGGCAGCGAAACAAGGCCATTAATAGTAGAAGACACTCGTAAGCTACTAGTATTTGACCACAGATGCCTTAGAAGTATTGCTGGCGTCTGCTGGGATCACCGGGTAAGTAATAGTAAGGTTAGACGCAGGGTATTAGGGAATGATGGTAAATCAGTTGGTGAGGTTATGAATCTTCATCGACTGAGACGGTTGGGCCACGTGTTACGTATGCCTGAACACCGATTACCACGACGTGCAATCCTAACCGGTGTTGCAGATGGTAGGAAGAAAGTTAGGGGCGGCCAAACCAAAACGTGGCATCAGTGCTTGAAGACACTAACTTCTAGTCTGAGCCATGTTGGTAGATGCAGACTACTTGGTTGGTGACCGCGTGACTATCGTAACCAATGGTTGGAGACTGTGTGTGACATGGCTCAGAATCGATCACAATGGCGTCGGTGTATACACTCCCTGTCTTCCCATAAACTAAGAGATTAAAATCACTTCATATCTTTCTTTCTACTAACTAATTCTTTCTTCCTGTATCATATCCTTATATGCAATCTTTGTCCTATATATTACCACCTTTGACCTAACCACTTCTATGAATCCGGTGTGCTAGTGAGGTTTGGCAACGTGGACCGAAGCACATATGTGCCTGGTTCCTACGTTGTAGCTGACTGACTGAATGAAACACTAAAATCGTTGGATACCGGCCGGCTCAGTAGTCTACTTGGTTAAGCGCCTGGTGCGAGACTGATAGGTTCTGGGTTCGAATCCCGCGAGGCGAGATCATGGATGCGTGCTGCTGAGGAGTCCCATACCAGGACGAAACGGCTGTCCAGTGCTTTCAGGTTTTCCATGGTGATGTTGCTTCAAATGACTCATGATCTGAACTGTTGAAATTACTACAATCTCCATAAAACCCTTTCTGATACTATCTACTAATTAGTTAATGAATCGATTACTTACTTCATTTGTATGTATATATGTACGTACATACTACGTTGTGACAGACAGCCAGAAATCAATCAATCGATCAGTTCGAATATCATTTAAACTTATTTCTAGAAAGGATTACCACATATTACACGTATATTTTTCTTATTGAATATACAAACCTTGGGTAACTATACTACTTATTAGTGGTGGTTAGTAGTTTTTAACGAGAAAAATAAGTAGATTATTTGATCATACAAGTAAGTTATTCTTATGAAATTGTTTTACAATAACAGAATTTGTTAGATTTTAAAGGGTAATTTTCAACATGACAAAAGTATTGATAATAAAACATGATAAAGAAATCAAATTGTTAGTCAGATGGATAGGAGTTGGAAGTACAGTGTAGTTACAATCTTAGTCGAACTGATATCTCAATTCAGCTTCATAGTTTAATATGTTACCGATAAGCCATTCATGTAACAAGATTATGATGAAAACAAGATTCCTAAGTGAAGGAGAGTTCTCTAATCGGAGGTATTGGGTTCTATTTCCGCTTGTGATAAAGTAGATGTATACAAATGTGAAGTACCATATAAGGACGAGATAGCTATCCTATGCTTTCAGGCTGTCTCACGTAGATCGATTCGTGATTTCAATGAAACAAATTTCTGTGTTAAATTATCTGTGCTTATTAGTTAATATTTATTTATTTATTTATTTAAACGCATAAACATTGGTACAATAAGGCACAAAATAGATATGCGCCACATAAATCATTCGATTTATGTAAGAGTTGGAATACTGCTCAGGTGCCCAAATCGAAGCAGATAGTTTTCTTATGAGGTAACACCCGGAGCCTTCGATCTAAAAGTCTGATCCATAAGGCAGTGAAGCAATGTAAGGAGATACAGTCCCATGGTAGCTGGTAACCAACAATTGGTTCATACGCCATTTGCTTCCTTAGGATCTTAGAGTACATGTTCACTATTGGTTTGAAATCAGGATTTTCCAACTCCCCTAGATGAACTGTCCGTACACACCAACTCGGTTAAATCATCGGACATTCGCTTTCCATTCTCTCAATTTCATAAACAAAACCTCCAACACGAGAAGGAAGTTAAACAAACTTTTTTTAATATTTTTATTGTTTATATCAATGAATCTTCAATCTTTACACTTTTCTGTTCATCTTATCACTTTAGATTTACACGAACCTATGGCTTATGATCAAGATAATACTAAAGCATGTTTAAAATGTGGATCTAAATGTCCTGGTTTCATGAAACATCCATGGAGGTAATCAAAGTAAAAATTATATCTCTCTATTCTTTCTTATAGAATGTTATGTACACAATGTCATTGTGCATATTATGAACATGATATTGATGATTTTACTAATCAATCAATATTAGATCAATTAGATTTAAATCAATCATCATTCTATGATAAATATATGGATGCACAAAATTTGGCTAAACAATTTGGATTACATTGGTTACCTATTGGTGTTAAACCAGTAGAGGTAAGATTAGTAGTATTATTATTATAATGATGTTACATATGCATACTACCTTAATGTAATAAGAAAGATAGAAATGATCAAACCAAAACGTGACTTCAGTCAATGAAGTCACTGACTACTGAAATCACTCATAAACTAGGACTATTGTGAGATAGTAACTCACTGAGAACAATGATGGATGTGTTGCTCAATTTTGTGGATTGGTTGATGTTAGACATGAGCAACATTGGATTTCGGCTGGCTCAGTGGTCTAGTTGGTTAAGGGCTCACGCGTAAGACTGATAGATCCTAAGTCGGAATCTTGTGAGGAGGAATCGTGGATATGCACTACTGAGGAAGAAACGGCCATCCAGTGTTTCCAGGTTTCCCATGGTGGTTTAACTTCAACTGACTCATGATTTCAACCATTGAAAAGATTAAGACTAATTGGTTCGGTAGGTATGCATTACTGTAATAATTTCAGGTTGAAATGAATCAGATTCACAGTCTTCTACTTTTAAGTGATTCCATAATTTTTAATGAAAATTACTTAATAGCTACATTGATCAACTCTGTAATATTTTGCCCCCAAATGACCTGGTACTGTCGAGAGTGGGGAGAGTTAAATCTCCCTTACAAAATGCTCTCACATGGCCACGTGCACACAAGTCCTACTCACTGCCTTCGCGCAGCATCACCATTGTTTACGAACTTGAGAGCACAAAGAGCGAATGTCCGGCGCTTTAACTGGGTTAGTGGATACGGACGATCGATCCACCTAGGAGATTTGGAAAACCTTCAATCCAAACCAATGCTGTACATGGGCTCCAGGATCCTATATGAACAAATGGTGTATGAACCTATTGTTGGTCACCAGCTACCATGAGACTACATCCTCTAACGTTGCTCCACTGCCTTGTGGATTAGACCTTTAGGTCGAAGGCTGGGGTGTGGCCCCCTATGAAAACCATCTGCTCCTGTTTGGGCACCTGGACATTATCCTATCTCTCACAAAAGTCGAATGATTTATGTGGCGCATATCTATTTGGTGCCTTCTTGTACCAATAAATAATACCGTATTTGATACGGGCTGGTCGAAGAAGGTCAATAGGATAGATTACTAAATTTGTATATTTGTCTTAGTGATGTGTAGGTCTTGACACGAACTGCATGATCACTTACAGAAAGCCGTAGCTTTTAGGTTTAGTTAAGTTTATTGGGTAACCGTTGAAAATTCTTCCAAGTTGATTAAAGTCTAAACTTTGAGTTCGTGGGTTTCAGATTCAGTAGGCTGTAGGTATAGAACCATATTATCAATACTAAGGGTGTTTGGTTTCATTCCATGACGAGGTTATGCTAACCCGTTGATATAAATTCCCAAACTTGAACAACACAGCTAATACCACCAAATTTTATTAGTTTCCCAAGTGATATCGATTAGTGATGAAATACTATAATAATAATATTAAGAACAATAATAGCGGTAATGATAATATAATAATAATAATAATATACTCATCTCTTTTTCGATCTAAGGTAAACTCATTTTTGAATAGTCTACCAAAGGATGAATTACCATGTGGTGAAGTTGCGGATCATGTCAGACGTCAACGTCTTAGAAAACAAATACCATTACAAGATCGTAAACCAGCTGTAACAATTGAAGAATTATGGCATCATTCAAACGATTCAAATCCTAATTTAGAAAATGAATTAATTGAAGCGAATCGTTTTAAAAATTTTCGTAATTTTCATGATTTTGGTATTGGATTAGTAGAACATATGAATGACAAAGATGGACAGGTAATGAAAACAAAAGTTTTAGTTGATTGATTTAATGAAACTACAGTATAAAACAACATAAGTCCTAGTTAAGTAATGAGTTAAAGATTTCAGAAGAATCTTCGATCTTACATTAGCTTCATTCTTCTTTACATATAAAACACATGGCTTGACTATCATTATAATAATATTGATAGAAATTATTGATTGATACTTGATTTCATCGAAACGATAGTGTTGTGATCATTGACATCCAACATAAACAAACATGCAATCCCAACTAGTTATGTGATCGGAAAGACTAAGATATTAATAAGAAACTGCAATTAGTGTCAGTGAATCACTAGGTGAATAAATCGTTGGTAGACCCAGACCAAAACACGTAGGTTACCTAATCGATTTTCTCTGGTAGAGTATCTCGACTATAATTTATCATCTAACACTTAACCTTGAGATAAGGTATGAACACAAGCATGTAATATGTTTAATATATCAGTAACTAATGTCATATATCCCTCATCCTTGTTACTGATTGACAACATGACACTGGGTATTAATATCATTATGATCACTTAACGTACGATTATCTGTAGTCTACACAAGATCAATGATGGTTCAAATAGCTTAGTAGTAATATTATACAGTCAGTTAGTTCTATGACGGTTACAAGAATCTTCAAATAGGCTTAGTTTAATAAGATAGTTTATTGATTTTTTTTCATTATTGATTGATGTAACAGTGAAGAAAACTTTACAAAAATTGTCAATTACCTTTAACCCAATTATGGTCATATACCATATAAAGATTTCATGATTGAACTTCAAAACAAAACGCCTACGATTTATTTCATTTGATAAAATTCATCAATATCAATTAACTATATAAAGTGTACTATAGTCTAGTCTCATGATCATATATGTTAGTGGAGTGGTTGAAGTTCGACACTGACACCGTTGGATCTCAGATCAATGGTCTAGAATTTAAGCGTCAACACCCAAGACCAATAGGTTGTGGTTTCGAATCTCACTAGTGGAATCATGGATACACACTGCTGAGGAGTCCCATACGAGAATGAAACGACTATCCAGTGCCCCTAGGATTTTGTTAATGTTTTCTCACAGTATTTGGGCGCCGAGTTAATGTGAGATATAAAAGAGGAAGAATGTATCTGTAAAATCTCAGAGAATGAATTTGAAGTAAATCTAACGTTTCACCTGGCAATTTGATGAGTTAATATATAAGAACTTTCGCTGAAATTTGAACGAATAGTTTCATTTACTTATGCGACCTACTTGAAATATGACTGATCAAATCATTCGCATAGCAACACTGGGAGGTGGTTACGAATGCGAAAATATCAATTAATAACTGTGATAAAGTAGAAGAATATGATAAAACTATAGTGATGATAAAAATCCAGAATTAACAAACTGTTCTGCATTAATAGGTCAGTTTCGATGTTATGATCAGCTAGTGTAAAGTAGGTATCTTTAACTGGATTTTGTAAACAATGTCAAAGGATGAATCTGTGGCTTAATGTCATGGTATCTACTATATGTTCCAGAATAGAAGTTTCTATAAGATTGTACAGCTTTGAAAATAGATACTTTGATAAATTGCTTTGTGTGTCGGGTAGAGACAGGTGTCTATCTCAGTTCAATGGGAGATAGTCGCGTAATTTCATGGATTTGTTGAAGCTAGATATTAACAACACTGAATGCCGGCTTAGTGGTCTAGAGGTTAGACGTTCGCGCGCAAGACTGGTAGGTCCATGGTTCGAGTCTCACATGCGCGATCATCGATGCGCACTGCTGAGGAGTCCCATACTAGTAAGAAACAGCCGTCTAATGTTTCCAGGTTTTCAATGATGGTCGGGTTCATGATCTCAGTAAAAAAAAAATTGAGTTTTATCCAATGTGCATATGTAAAGTCACTGGGTATTTCGTTCAACTTTTTCTCTATTACTTGTCATATTATTGAAGATGTTTTTATAAAATTTACTTCTAGCCATGTACAAATTGTTCGAATATAATCAATTTTGATGATTTCTGTATACGAATTAAACCAGAACATTCTTTAATAGAAGACATGTCTAACATGCCTTCGAATCGTACACCAGCTTGGCATTTGAATTGTTTTCGATGTACAATATGTCATGAATATTTAGTTGATTATATATATGCTTGGTTAAATAACCAACCTTATTGTTTACGACATTATGCTCAATCAGTACGTCCACGTTGTGTGACATGTGATCATGTAAGTGATTTCCTTAAGTAAAATTGTTTACAATTATATAATTAAGGTTAACCAATCTATATTTTTTTGCAGAAATATTCTATTCTATGAATTCTTAAATGTTCTAATAATTTAAAAGTGTTCTGGTAAAATACTTTTCAAGAAAATTCTTGAGTACTGTTAGAGGTGGGAAAAGCAAGATTCTCCGATACAGCACAACATGCACAAATCCAATCACAATTGACGGAGAAGATTTGAAAGATGTAAAAACCTTTACATAATTGGGCAGCATCATTGATGAACACGGTGGATCTGATGCAGATGTGAAAGCGCGGATCTGTAAAGCAAGAGCAGCATATTTACAACTTGGACACATCTGAGACTCAAAGCAACTGTCAACCAACACTAAGGTCAGAATTTTTAATACACACGTCAAGACAGTTCTACTGTATGGGGCGGAAACCTGGAGAACTACGAAACCCATCATCCAGAAGATACAAGTGTTTATTAACAGTTGTCTACGCAAAATACTTCGGATTCGTTGGCCGGACACTATCAGCAACAACCATTTGTGGGAGAGAACAAACCAGATCCCAGTGGAGGAAGAAATCAGGAAGAAGCGTTGGAAGTGGATAGGACACACACTGAGGAAAGCACCCAACTGCGTCACAAGACAAGTCCTCACATGGAATCCTCAAGGCCAAAAGTAAAGAGGAAGATCAAAGAACACATTACGCCGAGAAATGGAGATAGACATGAGAAAAATGAACAAGGATTGGATGGAACTAGAAAAGAAGGCCCAGGACAGAGTGGGTTGGAGAATACTGGTCGGCGGCCTATTCTCCTTTGGGAGTAACAGGCGTAAGTAAGTGTAAGTAAGTAACTGTTAGAGCTATGACGGCGGTTATCATTTTCTGAGTTCTTTTGGAAGTACCTGAGGAAATTAGATTAGAGGTGGTCTTAATGACCAGAGAGCGTAACCACAGTGCCCAAGGGACTACTGCTTGAGGTCAGTCACACACGACCCTTATTGTGAGTAGTTTTCGTGTTAGCTCCGTACTTGTCCAGAGCTTACCGCCGGAGACGGATATCCGTGGGATAAGGTAAGGTGTGCATTTTTAGGGTCGACCTTTTTTAAACCCCACCCCTCCTAGTGGGAAGGCATCATCGCTGTCATTTTGGTTGTCTGAAGGAAACACCTTACTGCTGTCACAACTCTGTACAGTCAGCAGTAAGACTTCTCCTTCGGACTTTGGGTTACTTGCTTTTAGTCTTATCGCTCTTCAACAGACCTGTCTGACATGGTAGGACCTTGAGGAACGGTTGTTCCAGCCAGCATAGCTCGGTTACTTCATCACGATAGGCATGGCCGACCACCACATCAAGGTACCAACAACGGCCGAGGCAAGAAAATTAATTGTTGAATAACTGAGATAATCGAATAGATTATATATATATACTCACTAGAGTCGCCGCCGAATCTTAACTAAGTAGGTCATAGAGCGAGACTAACTGGTTTGATACTTATGAAGTAGTATATATATATAATTGTGTACCATAAGCTGATAAATAAAAGACTTAGCTTGCAAACAATGAGTTACTAGCTCTGATCACCTCGTACTTTAAAGCACCTGAGTTCTATCATTAGGACCAACACATGTAAGACATTGGCACTGGATTATGTGTTAACTAGAAGGATTTCATATTGATGTGCCACATTCTGACTCATCATGAAGTGATCCTAAGATCTAGGTATCAGTAATAAAAATATATCCTCCTTCCTTTTGGGTTGGAGAATGCTGGTCGGTGGCCTATACTCTATTAGGAGTAACAGGCGTAATTAAGTAATCCTCCTTCCTTTAAGTGTAGAACATGAATCGTGTTACTTGAAATTCCAGAAATAAACATTGTTGACCAGTTGTTATTATCTTGAAACAAACTGACAAGTTTATTATTCGACTGATTTTCAAAAGGCCATAGATTAACTCCTGAGAAATTGCAACTTAGTAGGATGAGTAGATTTAATAGACGTTCTTCCATATTAAAAAGTCACGTAACAAAATATCTAGGGTATTACCATATTCTGACGGATACTATAACACAATTTAGGAAATACATCGCAAAACTACCTGGACACATTTATGATCCACAGATCCAAATCTATCAATCTCCGCCCTATTAAATCATGCTTTGTTATATTTATTCATAATATTCACCAATCATATGTCGACATTTAAAAAAGTAGCTGTTACATTTTATATAACAAAATTAAATCAACCAATAGTTTATAATCAGCTACTTTTCATAACATTTTCAACCAATCAGAAGCTGAATTCTTGGACTCGGAAATTAGGGTATGACTAATCCAATTTATGAATTAGTTAATCTGATCAGACAATTTAATATAGGTCTACACTAAAGAGGGAGAGAGAGAGGGGTGGGAGAGATGATCATGTCATAAACAAAACTGAAATCTGATTGGTTATTGATTAACTTTATTGCACATCTTTATATGTGTGTGCCTAGCCTTATATATATAAACATAAGCCTGTCTATATTCATTGCAAATAGAATTGCTTCAATAATACAGCAGTGTAGACAAGGTCATATGCTACATCTCTTATTGGTTCATTTATTCAATAGGACTTCTATTTATAGTGTGTGTGTATGTGTGTTTGTATCACCAGCCAAATACAAATTAGCCAAGTGTTCTGTTGTTTTTATTATTTTTTCTTCTTCATCATCGTTTATAGCTTATTTTCTCAGAAGAATATACTAGAGCTATGGATCAAGAACATCATTCTGGTCATTTTGCTTGTCATAGTTGTGATGCATCATTAACAGGACAACGTTATATATTACGTGATGATGAACCACATTGTTTAGCTTGTTATGAAGCTAAATTCGCTAATACATGTGAACAATGTAAAGAAAAAATTGGTTGTGATTCAAAGGTTAGTTAATTTTATGAAATAATTTCAATGTATAGTTTGATTTAGTTTTTTTTTGTTGTTGTTGTTGTTGGTGAAACTATCATTTATGAACAATCTTTGAGTGACGCTAAACTGACCTTGACAGTGTTAACTTATCCGAGCTTTCAATTTTGGGAAAATGGCACAAAACCCCAAAGTTTCCTCAGACCTGGAGGAATTCCCCATTATTTCCCCAAAATCCCCTTTTTAACCTTGGTTAAGGTAATTTAACTTTGGAGGTTTCCCCAGAATTTCCCAAACATTGGTGAAGATCATTTGACTTTGGGAGTTTCCCCAAACTCGGGTAATACCCAAGATCAAATAAGAGTTATAAGCCAGTGTGTGAGGAATTAGAATTATGATTTACAATTGATGGTTAAGATTAGAAATTAGATTTAGGGGTTTCCATCACGAACTGATATAAGTGATAATGCCAAAACTCTATTTTCACCAATCGATGAGTGAAGTTCGCGCTTAAATCCGAAACTTGTTATCCTACACCGAATTGGTTTGTTTATAAATTATAGTCTAACTAGATTTTTTAAAGCCATACAGTGATTACTTGTTAGTTGTGTAGAAAACTGCATTGATATTTATAGGTTACAATTTAATTTTGGAATGTCAGTCAGGCTCAACAATTCGCACAGGCTGTAACCATGACAAAAGACGTATGCATTTATTGATTTGTTCATGATGATTTAAGGATACACAAGTGAGAGTTTCATATGTTGAAAGAAGACCGAATATATAGTCGTAGCTACTTTGTATTCTCTGTTAGGAATACATATATGTTTGATTATAGGGTAGAATGTTGTTTAACTTTTCCAACGTCACGTTTTAATATGTGTAGTTTTAATGGAATCAATTAGAAATAATCCATCTTGTGTGGTATTTTCTTAATGCATTGTCAAAATAGTTTAGTATCATTATGTCGACATAATAAATCTACTGTTCATTAGTATATATGTCTGTTTCTTGTTACTAAAACTTGATAGAATTCCTACTGCTAGACATATATGGGGTTTTATATGACTATTCATGATAACATTTTCAGTTTTTGCCTTCGATATATTATTTTCATTTTTTTTCTCGAACCACAATCTTCTTGAGGATGACAATGCTAACCGGTATTAGAGATGGATGGAAGAAAGTTAGGGGCGGCCAAACCAAAACGTGGCATCAGTGCTTGAAATCACTAACTTCTAGTCTGAGCCATGTTGGGAGATGCAGACTACTTGGTTGGGGTCCATGTGACTATCGTAACCAATGGTTGGAGACTGTGTGTGACATGGCTCAGAATCGATCGATCACAATGGTATAGGTGTATACACTCTCTGTCTTCCCTTAAACTAAGAGATTAAAATCACTTCATATCTTTCTTTCTACCAACCAACTAATTCTTTCTTCGTGTACTATATCCTTATTGCAATCTTTTATATATTACCACCTCTGAATTAACTACTTTTATGAATCCGGTGTCCATCTTGTTGTGTTAATGAGTGAGGTATGGCAACTTGGACCGATGCATATATGTGCCTGGTTCCTACGTTGTAGCTGACTGACTGAGGATGATAAAATGTTGAATCCCAAGCAATGCATATTGAATTAGCCGTTAAAAAGTAAACCTAGCAATGTTTGTCTGTTTATTTATTTAGAAGTTCCTGGTAGGAATGGCTTTCAGTTTGAGGTTATGGTTTTTATCGCTGTAAAATCATTCTATAGTTTGACTTACATTTACAGGTGAAAAATTTGTTCAGTCTTACGAAACAAAGGTGACACTATAATTTATAGACGACCTTTGAGCGACGCTGAAGTGACCTTGGGAGTGAAAAACTACTAATTAGGACTAAATGAGGGTTATAAAGCAGTTAGAATTCTCATTCACAGTTGATGGTTAGAGTTCAAAATTAGATTTACGGTTTTCATCACGAACTGACATCAGCTATGATGCCAAAACTCTATTTAGCCAAATGTATGGATGAATTCCGCGCCCAAATTCGTGACATTATTTGATATCGGATTGGTTCGTCCATAAATTATAGTCTCGTCATAATAAGATCAGCTGATTGTTTAATAGTTAAAATGATAGAAAATGAAAACTCAGGATGTTAAAAGTTGTATTGACTTTAATGCACTTTTTAATCGGTACGGTATATTAGATAATTAAACAGTTCAAAGAAGGCCTACTCATTGCCTTCTCGTGGCATCACTGTTGTTTACGAAATCGAAAGAACGAAAAGCGAATGTCCGGCGCTTTAACCGAGTTGGTGGACATGGAGAGTTCACATAGGGGAGTTGGAAAACCCTCATTCCAAACCAATGGTGCACATGGGCTCCAGTATCCGACAGAAACAAATGGCGTATGAACCAATCGTTGGTCACCGTCTACCATTGGACTGCATCTCTTTACGTTGCTCCACTGCCTTGTGGATCAGATCTTCAAGTCGAAAGCTCCAGGTGTGGCCCCCTAAGAAACCACCTGCTTCGATTTGGGCACCCGGTCAGTATCATAACCCTCACACATATCAAATGAGATCTGTGTGGCGCATATGTATTTGGTGCCTCCTTGTACGAATGTCTATGTGTCAAAATAAATAAGTAAATACTGTACTTTAACCGATAATTATTCTAATACTTATACAATTACATGATATTTGAGTATTGTGAACCATTTGTTAATCAAAATATTACTTAACCATATTTTTGGTAGTTTTTGGTATCTAACAGTGAATAATTTTCTGTAAATAAGGGTTAATACCTTTATCATGGTGGATATTGTGTAAGTGACTTTCGAATTCTTTATTTTGTAGGCGATGTTGTATTCACTTAACTGATTTTCTATACGATATATCATGTTTAATAAACTTGAGTATTTTCCATCAAAAGTCTTAATTGTGTGTTTTTAGTTCACAAATTTTATCCAGAGTGAGAATCACTATCCTTATCAGTTACCTGAATGATACCACTCACTAATCAGTATGCTCTTCCAAGTTTTCATCTTAGATGTCAAAAATACATTGTGAACTTGTGATATTTTACTCGATTTATAACATCATCTAGTACAGTCCATTCTGTACAATTACAATCTGTTAAAAACTTTTTACATTCTTATATACTACTTGTACATAACTATTAGGGTATGTTAAAACCGGAAGTTGGCATTACATCACTTGTTCGGGATGCATCAGAATCTGTACGAAATGCAGTTTATACATCATCTCAACAATCAAATGTTAGATTTCATCCAAGTTGTCCAATGCCATATATTCTTGGTCCTGGTTATAGCGTCGGACAAGCATGGCAATGTGATACAATCAAGGCAGGTGAAAATCCATCAAAAGATCTATTCATCCTTCACCTAACGCCTATGATGCCAATGTTACATGGTATCGCTTTGTATCGTCGTAATCGTGCTCCCTGTGATTTTCATGTGTTTCCTTTTTTTTTTAAATGAATATCAGTTTATTATTGTGTTGGACTATATTCCTTCTATGCACTCATTGATTTCCTCTTTTCTCCTTATCATCTAGATAATCAAATGTATAGCGATCATTTTTTTTGTTTTGTTTTTGTCACTAACTATTTGTGAGTGGGAGCAATAGAGTTTCTTATGCATAAACATGATGTTAGTTCATTCGTTTTCTTTACTACACAAACATACTTATACTTTTACTCATTTCTTTTTTTCTCTCTAAATTTGTGTGTTCAATTGAATGCATGCTAAATTCTTAAAAAAGAACTAGTTTAATATTAAACAATCAGCTTTCACACCACTGTTATTTCCATTAGACGTGTTGTATTTTGCTGCATTCCAAAAGAGATTGGATTCAATCTCTTTTCATTAGTGTATTTGTTCCAATTGTGTTGTCAATCTTTAATAGAATTGACTATATTACATAATTTAACATTATTTTTTTTTGTATTTTCTCCCAGGATCTTTCATTTAAAGAAAGACATTGGCATGAGAAATGTTTCAAATGTTCTGCTTGTACTACTTCATTAGCTGATCGACCATTTGCTACAAAAGAAGAACAATTATATTGTTCTGATTGTTATGATGAACGTTTTGCTGCACGATGTGATGGTTGTCAAGGTGTATTCAAAGCTGGAATGCGTAAATATGAATATCGTGGACAACAATGGCATGAAGAATGCTTTTTATGCGTTGAATGTAAACAACCAATTGGTGCGAAAAGTTTTATTCCACGAGAAAATCAAGTTGTATGTGTACCATGTTATGAAGCGAAATATGCTCAACGTTGTACTAAATGTTCAGAAGTAGGTTTACATTCATTACTGTCCTACTCTATTATTTATTGTAATGATTACCACGACGTGCAATCCTAACCGGTGTTGCAGATGGTAGGAAGAAAGTTAGGGGCGGCCAAACCAAAACGTGGCGTCAATGCTTGAAGTCACTAACTTCTAGTCTGAGCCATGTTGGTAGATGCAGACTACTTGGTTGGGGTCCATGTGACTATCGTAACCAGTGGTTGGAGACTGTGTGTGACATGGCTCAGAATCGATCGATCACAATGGTATAGGTGTATACACTCTCTGTCTTCCCTTAAACTAAGAGATTAAAATCACTTCATATCTTTCTTTCTACCAACCAACTAATTCTTTCTTCGTGTACTATATTCCTTATTGCAATCTTTCTTATATATATTACCGCCTCTGAGTTAACTACTTTCATGAATCCGGTGTCCATCTTGTTGTGTTAATGAGTGAGGTATGGCAACTTGGACCGATGCATATATATGCCTGATCCTACGTTGTAGCTGACTGACTGAATGATGAATAGTTTGGAAAAACTAGTGGTTTTTCTTTTGTCATTTTAGAAAATTTCATAAAATTTTATTCGCTAAATATCAATAATAACTACATGGAAAACAGGATAAAATTGTGTGGTTTTGCAGCTAAAGGTTCATCGAATATTAGAAGACACTGACACATCATGATTAAGTCGTACGACTTTCAACCAATAGGTTGTAGATCTGAACCCCATAAATCTGTACTTGGTAAATGTTTTTTTATGGAAAGAAAGCAAAGTTCGTTCATTCTCTATCTTGCTTACCATCGTCTGGTTAATATCATTCTTAATTTTCAATCCTTCGATCACATTGCTCCTTTTGAAATGTATTTCTTGTCTTTAGATTTTAATTGTCGTTTATATAGTTCCTCATTCTATGTTTTTTTTATCTCAGCCATACCTAATCTAAAACAAGGGACAGGAGCTGTTCCTGGTGGATCATTTTCTGAGATCGAATTTTAACTGTTGGATTGACTGGGATAATAACTAAAATCTAGGGAGTGAATGTGATCCTATCTGACCGGTTTCGATCTCTGATTGTCTAAGTTATAAGGGGGGACAAAAATAGTTCATAAATCGACGATTATAGTATCTAGAACATTAGCCTTAATAATTATCCAATGTTTAACTGAAGCTGTTGAAGAACGATCTCGAGAAAACCAAACGGGTTTCAGGCTTGAGTGTAAATATATATATTGACTCTTTGTCAGGTTCTAGAACTTAGCCATACTTAACATCGTTTACTTTTGTTGATTTTCTTCGACTATATTCATCAAAACAATGTTCATTTCAATGATAAATGACATATGTCAATCTCTTAATGTCTACTATTTTCGTTTTTTATGTATGATTTTCGTCTGACTTGTAGTAACTGGGTTCATTCAACTCATTTATTTATTTATTTGAACACATAAATATTAGTACAAGAGGGCACCGAATACATGTGCGCCACACAAAACAATGGGAATTTGAAGAGAAGAAGGAAAAAAAGTAAGGAGCGTAAAAGAAAAAAAGAAGAAAAATAACGTACAGTTTAGTGTAAGGTAGTGTAATAATAATAATGAGGGAAACGAAAAGGTACAATCAGAAGAAATCTTTCAGTTAAAGAAGATACAACCACTTTTTATGAAGAAAGTAAAAGAGGTTACAGCAGGATCACCACTGGCTTCTATTCTGAGCCATATCTGATAACGTCGTTAGCCACTGTGTCGCACCATCTCTAGGACCCCAGCCAGGGAGTCGTGAAGAACCAACAGAAGCCAGTTCTTTGCAGCTTTCTTTCATCCCACGACACAATGCCATACACTGACCACCTCTCCGCTTCTTCCAACCAGTCCCAGAGTCGACAAATAATACACGACGTGGAATTCTCTGGGACGACATTCGTAGAACATGTCCAATCCACTGAAGTCGGTGTTTCAAGTTGGTGACACCGATTGGATTATCGTCTCTGTGCCCGGACACACGATGTCGAACCTCTGCTTTAATAACATGGTGTTGCCACTCGATGTCAGCAATCCTTTGGAGACAACAGTGATCAAACACAGAGAGTTGTCTAACGTCCTCAACTCGGAGAGACTAGGTTTCACAAACATAGAGCAAAACTGCCCTCACCGACGCGTTGTAGATCCGACCTTTTACAGACAGACTGACATCACGAATGCACCAATGGTGACCCAGATTGGCATAAGCCGCTCTGGCTTTCATTATACGTGCATTGATCTTATCACTCACGCCACCACCAGCACTTATGCAGCTACCTAGATACACGAACTTCTCGACTACTTCTATCTGCTCACCATCCGGGGTGAGTACAGGATTAGAATGCTGCCAGTCTTGCAGAACTACTTTGCACTTCGTAGGTGCAAAGCACATACTATACCTACGAACACTGATTGCCAAACAATTAAGTGCGGATAGCATGGCTTGGGCATTATCACACAGTAAGACAATATTATTCGCATACTCAAGGTCGAAAAGTCTTTCTCCAGGCAGCAGATCTACACCGCCATTACTTACATCTATCAGAGCTGGTTCCACAATGTCATCGATGGCAAAGTCGAAGAGGAATGGTGAGATTGGTCAACTCTGTATAACCCCACTGCTTGAATGGAACAATGGAGAGAGGTGGTTGTATGCCCTCACTCTGCCTGATGTGTTTGTATATAGGGCCGTTAGGATGTGAATAAACTTCTCAGGCACACCGTTCTTCAATAGACAATCCCGGAGAACAGTCCGATCCAACGAATCGAAGGCAGCCCTAATGTCAACTCTCTAAATAAAACATTTTGCCCATTTATACTTTTATTTAAAACGAACAACTTTTCTTTAACAAAAGGTATTGATTGGCATTAAACTTGAAAATTTCAGCCATGTTTTCTTTTTCTGAAAAAGAAATAAGTGACATTTTTTTAAAATGTCTACATGTTGTTACTACATATATATATATATATATATATATATTATCAGGTTATACGTCGTGGTGGAGTTACATACAAAGGGAATCCATGGCATAAAGAATGTTTCACTTGTACTAGTTGTTCTAAACAATTAGCAGGATTAAAATTCACTTCTAAAGATGAACAACCATATTGTGCAGATTGTTATGGTGAATTATTTGCTAAAAAATGTACAAAATGTACCAAACCAATTACTGGTAAAGTTTCTTTTTTGTTTGTTTGTTTGCTGTTGTTTTCTATAACAGAAAAGTATTTTTATCCTATTTTTTAAAAATTTTGTCTTATATTCGTTAGTCAGTTATCAACAACGTAGAACTTCGTACGTACGTCCATCTGTTCGAGTTGCCACACCACATTAGCACAGAGACGCAGTTGTCGATTCAAATCCCATAGTGGTAGAGGCGGTAAGAGTATGAGCAGTAATCGGAAAGATTAGGGTTCGGAGATGTTATTTAAAGAGTATAACCCAGTGAAATAAATTTTTGAAAGAAAAAAAAAAGAGGCAAGGAGGATTCAGGGAATTAGGATTTGGGAGAACACAAAGAGTGGATGCACCTGTTAAGATTTTTCAATCCATTTGAAAAATATTTATTTTCATTAAGTGTATTGATTAGAAAAATTGTAAGATTATTAGTTCACTATGATTTGTTTATTTAAACACATAAATCATTCGATTCGTTTGAGGGCTGGGATACTGCCCGGGTACTCAGACGAAAGCGGTTGGTTTTATTAGAGGGACACACCCGAAAACTTCGATCGAAAGGTCTAATCCACAAGGTAGTGGAAGAACGTCAGGAGATGCAGACCCATGGTAGCCGGTGACCGACGATTGGTTCGTACGCCATTTGTTCCCTCAGGGTACTGGAGCTCACGTACACCATTGATTTGGACTGAAGGTTTTCCAGCTCCCCTAGATGGGTCCTCCATATCCACTAACCTGGTTAAAGCTTCGGATAATCACTTTTCGTCTTCTCAATTTGGTAAACAACAGTAATGCCTCGAGAAGGCAGTAAGTAGAACTTCCCTGTCAGTGATTGTATGCACGTGGGCATGTAAGAGCACTATGAGAGGGAGAGCGGACTCTTCCCATTCTTGGTCGTACCAGGGCATTTGAAGGCAGTTCACCATGAAGATGACTTGAAAAGAAATCTGTTAGTTAATTAGTTAGTTTTTTTTATTATATATAACTCAGCTATTGTAAATATATAATTTATTTACTAGCATCATATCTACTCTCCGAGAAAAAGAAATTGATCCCTACTATCTATCGATACAGATTAGATTATGTCTTGATAGTATTAACAATTAAACTAATCGACAACTAGTGATGGATTAACTAAATTGGATACGGTAATATTAAAACAGATTTTAGTGTTTATTTTGGTAGGTGAAGGGAAGTAGTGTTTATTTGTTTCTATGTCTGTGTTATTCGATGTGTCTGTCTTCAAGTAGCCAGAAAAAGAGTATCTTTCAGTGTTATGACTCGGAAACGTTCATAATGGGGTAGATACATTCACGTTTTATCTTTTTGTCTATCTTTAATTCAAATCAAGAGGTTAAGTGTTCGCGCTCAAGACAGGTTCTTGCGTTTGATTCCCGGTTGAGGGATCGCATATATGCACTGCTGTGGAGTCTTAAAGTAAGACCAATCGTCTGTCTAATGCTTCCCGACCGTTGTTGCTACCTTGACGTGGTGGCCGGGCTTGCCTATCGTGATGAAGTAACCGAGCTATACTGGCTGGAACAACCGTTCCTCAAGGTCCTACCATGTCAGACAGGTCGGTTGAAGAGCGGTAAGACTAAAAGCAACAAACCCAAGGTCCGAAGGCGAAGTCGTACTGCTGACTGTACAGAGGTGTGACAGCAGTAAGGTGTTTCCTTCAGACAACCAGAATGACAGCGATGCTGCCTTCCCACTAGGAGGGATGGGGTTTGAAAAAGGTCGACCCTAAAAATGCACACCTTACCTTATCCCACGGATATCCGTCTCCGGCGGTAAGCTCTGGACAAGTACGGAGCTAACACAGAAATTACTCATGAAAATGTCATGTGTGACCAACCTCAATCAGTTGTCCCTTGGGCACTATGATCACGCTCTCCGGTCATTATGACCACCTTTAATCTAATTTCCTTAGGTACTTCCAGAAGAACCTTCCACGGTGTAGGCAACCGAGAAACGATAACCGCCCTCATACCTCTCACAGCACTCAAGACCACTGTATTCATAATCGACCTCCCTCTTCTATCCAATGCTTTCGGATTTTCAACGGTCTAACTTCAATATGTTTGTGATTTCAATCTCCGCAATCTTATACTGATAGATGAGATTTATTGAATAGTTTTACTTGTTTGTGTCACATGTTAGTTTATGTTTCTTAAATTTGTTAGAATGATTTTCAACACAATCAAAAACTCTCTAAATAGTATTGATTTTTAAAAGAAAGTAAGAGAAATATCTGTAGCTGTGGAGATGAAAAGTCGATAGGTGTTTGACTTTCTAAGCCAAACCACACCTGGCTCAGAGAACATAACACTTTCAAGAATAGGAACAATAACGGGGCGGATTTGCATGTATATAGCATATAATTCTCTTTGAACCTAGCACACAACAATAGCATCATGCACTGTCCCATCGCCCTTGGCAGATCAGACAACCCGAAAGTTCCGAGAATACCATCAGGGCATACGACAGGCTAGGTACCCCTTTCAAGAATAATTGGCATCAATTTCCCTTTTATTTGACTTGAAGAATACATAGTTACACCACTTCTTAAATAAACGTTGTTTTTTTTTTGTTTGTTCGATCAAGCCAACGTTACCCACTTTTGTTTTGATATGATATTGATTGTACCCATGTTATGTAAAACATATTTCTTACCGATTTTTTTTTAAATTTAGGATTTGGTGGTTGTAAATTTATTTCATTTGAAGATCGTCATTGGCATTCAGAATGTTTTCTATGTGGAAAATGTAATTGTAATTTAGTCGGTAGAGGTTTTCTTACCAGTGATGATATGATTATGTGTTCTGAATGTGGTCGTTAACTTCAACACACACTTCAAAGAAGAAGAAGAATGATAATAAAAGATAAAAGAAACAAACAAGCAGCAGTTATACATACATCTAGTCAAAAGTGCGTGATTCATTCGTTCGTTCGTTTGTTCTTTCTTTCTTTATTCCGCTTTATGATATCAATTTGTTTTGTTTTGTGTTTTGTTCCATTTGTTTGTTGATTAAAATAGTCAAATCTTCTTAGCTAATTCATTCTAATATGTTCACAATGCATTTATTATATACATATAAACATAAGATTTTCTTTTTGAACCATGACTTCAAATGATCCATTAACATAGAATGATAAACAGAACTATTCATTGTTGATCATAAAGAAATGAATTCATTATGGAATATATTCTATTCTAGTCTTTATTCATCCTTAATCCTTCAAATATATTGATTTATTTTTTTGTACTGTTTTTTTGTTTGTTGATGATGATGTTCACAAATTGTCTTCCTTGTTCACATCTATTCATTCAATTGAATGCATATATATATATACATCATTATTAACGTATAAACTAATGATCTTTTACATTTAATAGTAATTTAACTTTTGTAGTTTACAGTTCTATAGTTTTCTTTTATATATTTTATGATTTGTCTCTCTGTGTGTGTGTGTGTACGTGCATGGCATCAGTGTTTAGATTTTCACTTTAGAACTGCTTCATCACTTATTTACTCGTAGGTATATTCCTACTGTTGTTATACATCAAGAGATTTGGGAGCTGGGTGGGAGGGATGGGTTGAGCTTTCTTGAAAATGTATGGAATGTTGAGTTACCAAGTTGTCCTCTCTCTCTCTCTCTCTTTCGCTACTTCCTCTTTTCCACATGACGTATATCTTTTAAAAAGAAAGTCAATCCCTGTAATTGAAACTTACTTCTGTTCATGTGTATGAGATTTGACAACAACTATTCACGTCATTAGACATTATCAAACGATTCATTGTCTATTATTCTAGAGTTAGACATTCATTACCTTTATTTATTGTAAACATAACAACTATTCTAGGTATTTTATGAATATTATTCATTTCAACCAGTTTAACATGTGTGCTCTCATTTCCGATTTCACACATAGATCATCTTTCTCATTTTGAAACTCATTTCCATGGTGTGTTTTTCTTTCTTTCTTTTTTCATTTGCATGTAAAATTTGTTTTTATTAGATAATGCAGCGATTACGTCTTAAGTACTTACATTATTGAGTATTGGAATTCATGCATAGAACATATGAATTGTGTGTGTGTGTGTGTTCCAATATATTCATCATTAATTTATCTTTTGAACTACCTTAACTATTTGTCTTGTTTACTTTTTGTTGTTTTGGTTTAATACTGTTAGTCTGTATTTAGTTGCGTTGTGCAAGCGTGAAGCAGAAGAGATGGATTAAGAGAATAAACATGTTTGACGAGTGTTTTTTGTCCTATTGTCTATTCAGATTAGATGGTGGTTGGAGGTAGTCGACAGGAAGCCCTCGACCCGGGTTTCGTGCTACTTGGCACTCTTCATCAAGGTGTACCTGTAATCTTGAAGGAACTGGTGCTCCCTGGTGGATTCGATCTCGTGTCACCCAGCTTCACAGTCAGAGACGTTACCACTAAGCTATCCGAGCCGCGACTAACCTCCTGTAGGACTGAGATGTGTATTCATTACGAAATGAAAACGGAAATTAACAGTTTATCAATCGGTTGTATATTTAAACCTTAAACGCTAGTCTCGAGTTATGAAGATCCTAGGTTCATGAATGCGTATTACTGAGGAGTTTGTCCGAAAAATACGTGAAGTTAAAGAAATTTCTTTTACGTTATTTATGATACATTAATTGCTCCTTTCACAAATACTGCCAGTTTGTGACAATACACACTTGCTCCACCTTCATTTTACTTACTCAAAAAATCTTTAGGAGTTAAACTTTCCAGATGTTTCATATATTCATATCGTTCTAGTAACAACGTCGTGTGACCAGTTTACATTTTGGAAATAAACAGAAATCACCGGCCAATAGAAGGGATTGTTTAGAGTGGTTATCAGATTACGAAACAAACTGATGAGTGATCATAGTGAGTAGAATGTGCAGGCGCATTATCTCGATGCAGTGGTCGGTGTGCATCATTCTTCAAACATAATTTATTATCAATGACACTAGTTGAATTTCGTGTATTTATTAGATAAATTACATGCTAATCTGGTCCAAACGTTCACTAAAGTTAAAGGGAATTAAACTATTTCACTGAAGTAGATTCATGTTTAATGAAATAAAAAAAGTCACCTAACAATTGGTGATCAGTCATAACACAACATAGGACCTGGCACATATGTGTATCGGTTTAGGAGGTCCTCAATTTGTATAACTCTAAAGGATATGATTTCATCTTAAGATATTTTTTGAGATTAGGGACAATCATAGAAAGGTTCGTTTCCCCATCACCTGATTTCATATGAGATGAGATTTCCAATGAACGAAACTTCATTTTAATAGTTGTTTGACTAGTCGTTAACTAATGTTTGCCACTTTCATTTGAGAGATATCAAATATCTGATTGACTATCGATGTATAAATTGTCTATTATTATTAAGTGTATACGTAGATATATCTACTTAGAATGATTTTTTTCATTTTTCAATTTCAGTTAAGATTTTTTTTCTAATTCGATTATAATCTTCCGGTTATTGATGATGCTGTTCAGGTCTATGAGAGTAAACAGGTTCGTATTTAAACCGACCGTCTCAGGTAACATAAATCTCAATCTGAGCTGCAAATTTTTTTTGCCATTTCATAATGATATAAATCTACTTATCATAATCGCTCAAAAAGCTTAACGTCATCAGTTTATCACCCGTTGGCTCCTGAGTATACACTGCCAATATAGATTTATCTAATCGATCTTGAGGGATCACTGATGTTTACAGTGAGAATAGGACTTATGGGCTCCGTCATTATAGCGTTACAATTACAGAGATGCCACTAAGTTACTCTATCTAAGAATAACCCTCTACACGACTGAGTTATTCACGTTAATCGATGTACTGTTGTTTAATTGTTAGTGTTGCTGATTGAACCCAATCGAATAAGTAATGTGCCTATTAATCTAAGTGTTCCATCATACGTGTAATAAGTACTTACTCTTGTTAGCCCTCATGGAGGAAGGCTGCCTACCAATATTCCCATCGAACTTTATCGTGAAAAGTCCTTCTAAGTTCTTACCAGTTGATATTCATTATTTACATGTTTGCTCCCGATTGCCGACGCAATGTATTCCTTGGTCTTCCGTTTCCCTTTACGATTCCAAGTTAAGGTTTGCTTTGTGATAAACTTTTTGATTTCCGTAATATATGTCCTATCCACTTTCAACGTTTTTTCCTAATTTCCTCTTCAGATAGAGGATGGTTTGTTATCTTCCCCAGTAGTCTGTTGCTGATGCTATCTGGTCAACGGATATTGAATAGACAACTTTATAAATGCTCACACTTTTTGATGATGGTTGTGGTATTTCTCCAAGTTTCAGCTCCATACAGTAGAACTGTTTTGATGTTCGTATCGAATATTCTGACTTGGATATTGTTTGATAGTTGTTTTGAGTTTTGTATGTTCATCAACTGTAGGAATACCGCCTTGATTTGCCAATCCGTGCCTTAACATCTGCATTAGATCTTCTTTGTTCATCGATGATGCTGCCGAAGTACGTGAAAGATTCCATCTCTTCCAGAGTTTCTCCATCAAGTGTGTTTGGGTTGGTGTTCTCTGTGTTGTATTTGGGGATGCTGGTTTTTCCCTTGTGCATGTTGAGGCTTACTGGTTCAAAGGCTGTTGCTACACTGGTTGTCTTCAATTACATTTGTTGGTAGGTATGGAATAGTAGATCTAAGTCATCTACGAAGTCCAAATCGTCTAGTTGAACACAAGCTTTCTATTGTATTGCATGCCTTCCCTCCGATGTGACTGTCTTTATAGCCTAGTCGACCACCAGAAGAAACAGAAGGAGGGAGAGTAAGCAGCCTTGTCTCACTCCGGTCCTCACTTGCAATGCACCTGTCCCCCACTTACAACTTTGCAGTATAGTCCGTCGTGTGAATTCCGAATGATTTTGAAGATTTTCTCAACTACACCATCGTGCCAAAGAACATCCCATAAGGTTCTCCTATACACATTGTCAAATGCTTTATCATAGTTGAGGGAGTTGATGTATAGTGACAAATTGAATTCAGTTGAGTGATCAAAGATGATCCATAGTGTCACGACTTTGTATGTGCACGACTGATCCTTACGGAATACAGTCTGTTGATCTCGAAGTTAAGTGTCTACTGAATCTTTCATCCGGTTCAGCGACACAATGTTGCAAACATTTCATGGGACTGAGAGCAGTGTGATGTCTGTGAAGTTCTCACATTTGATCAGATCTGCTTTCTTTGGTATCTTGATGATGTATCCTTGTTTCCAGTCCATCAGCACTTGTTGTTCCTCTCAAATCTTGTTAAATATAGTGTGAACCATGCTTGCAATTACTTTCATGTCTGACTTCAGACCTTCAGCTCGTATATTGTCAGGTATGCTGCTTTCCCCCCATCGATTTGGTTGATGGCCATCCTGATTTCTTCGATCGTTGGTGGAGTGACATCTATAGGAAGGTCTGTGTGTGCTATTCCAATATCCGGTGTATTCAAGCGAGATGGTCTATTCCAGAGTTCTCTGAAGTATTCTACCCTTCTGTTCCGGAATCTCAATGATTGCCTTGCATTCTTTGTCCTTGACCTGTCTCTCCGGTTTACTATATTTATCTACCGGTTTCTTCGTCGTGTCACATAGTTCTTCCCGAACTCCCACATTGTCCGAATATTCCATGTACCTATATTAATTGTTTCTTTAGTTATTAGAAGAGCCATCCATCTCGTGACTTCCGAACAATCTCATCTTTCAACATGAGGCGTTATAATTCTTCTTCAACTCGGAGTACAGAGTTTAAATGGCTTCCATTATTTATTTTGGTTAGCGTTTTTTTACTAGCAAGTTTATATTCTACAGGATATGGTTGCTGACTTCATGCCCAACCCTCCTCCTTTACTTGTACTTAGAACAGTCATTAACCCCAGAAGAGTTACAGGAGGAATTGTAATACTTCTTTAATGAAACATTATTCACTCTAATGTAAATCCCACATAGGAAAATATATTTTCGAAGGAATGACTCAAAATGATAAAATGACAATCATGCTAAAGAACCAATGGAAAAATACAAAATATCACTGCAACTACTTCACTGAGATCAATTTCTAAAACATGCTATCAGACTTCTATACTCATAGATAACAACTATTGTATAGGCTATAATCATTTAGTTTATATTTTCTCTATTTATCTCCAAAAAACAAAATTATTCATTACTTCATAGATTGATATTATCTCTTTAGGGTGTTTCTTTACTCTATTCTATTCCAACTAAATATTTTCAAATTAAGGTTAACTATGAGTAATAATTGAATAATTTTTTCTGGTTAGCGTTTTTTTAGCGAGTTAGTTTTCTACGGGATGGGGACGCTAACCCCATACCCAATCCTCCTCCTTTATCCGGGTTTGGGACCGGCAGTAGCCCCCGTAGGGAGTCCAGGTGGAGTTAATAATTGAAAACATATGAGAAGTCGTTACTAGTGGAATTCAACTAGGTCGGTTGTGAGATAGGAACTCACTGAAGACAGTGGTGCATGGTGGCGCAACTTCGTGGATTGGTTGGAGTTAGACATTAACACAATTGGATGCCGGTCGGCCCAGTGATCTAGTTGGTTAAGCACCTGGCTCGAGACTGATAGGTCGTGGGTTCGAATTTCGCAGGGTATGAGATCGTGGATGCGCACTGCTGAGGAGTTCCATACTGAGACGAAACGGCCGTCCAATGCTTCCAGGTTTTCCATGGTGATCTAACTTCAATTGACTCATGATTTCAATCAGTGAAACGTATGAAGTACTTCAAATGTATATTTTATTAAAGTAATATATACTTTCCATTTACAACATTAACAGGAAAAATCTTTTTTTTAAAAAAATGTTATTGTACTTAAGTGTTTTTTTGATCAGAACAATATCGATCCTTTTGTATTAGATACTGAATTGATAAGAACTCAGTTAATCAATCCATCAGTCAATCAATAGAATGGAACACTATTACAAATAGAGTTGTTAGCCATGATCAAAACTGTTTCAGATGCAGACATAATTACATAACATTCATTACATAATAACAACAAACACATTATTAGATGAAATCATTGAATAGATGAGCTAACAAGAATGAAAGAGAAATAAGAATAATCTGTGTAGGATTTTTGTTGTTGTTGGAATTAACTGTAAATTCAACATAATCAGTTTATCTCACAGTGGCTTATCAGGACAATAATTAGATAAATAAAGATCGATGATGGCTAG